TAAAGGTCTTGCGCAGGCTTGAGCGCGTTGAAAAATAAGAGTCTTGTATGAGGTTACAGAAAACCCTAAACCCTAAACCCTAAGCGGTTCCGGTTTAAGGCTTTAGGAGATGTTCGACCTCCGGGCTGATGGCCTTAGTTTGGTCAGCTTCAAGCCCTTAGGCTCGAGGTAGTTGAGGCCTACCCATAGGCCCCATAGTAGTTCCTTTTTGGGCTTACCTTATAGGATTCTAAATATGAACCCCAAAAAGGAACTACCATGGGGCCTATGGGTACTCAGGGTGTAGGGCTTAAGGTTTGGGTCTCGGACTCAGGCTTCTTTATTTCGGTACCTTCGATGCACAGCCTTCACTACCGAGCCGGACGGCCAAACGTTCTGCGATTGCTTTTGTAATCGGTGGAGCTTTACAAGCAAGGGACCCTAAACCCTAAACCCTAAACCCTAAACCCCAAAACCCTAAACCCTAAACCTGAAGGCAGCCATGATTCTCAGCTAGGGCTGCGCCCAGGCTTCGCGGGCCTGCAAGCGAGCCAAATGCTCACGGAGATCCCTGGAGCCCCACGACGTAACGTGGGGCACAGCTTTCAAGACCGTTCCATTCGAGGGCAAGGCAAAGGTCGAGTGCCAATGCGGCGACCTTGCCTCTCAGCCTCTCATGACCACATTTCTTGATATTGCACGTGCTTTCGGGCGTTGCATGCGCGCCCATGCCGCGTTACCAAAGCCTCTGCGCATTTTGCCTTTCTGCTTCAGGTGCACCACGGATGTTCCTGACACCATTGTTATCATGCAGTCTGCTCTGCATACCATTCAGACTGCGCTGGTTTATATTTGGCAGCGACACAGAACGGAATTGCATTCCGCTGCAGAGCCACCGTGGCCCGTCCAATGCTGTGCGTTAGACACACACGGTTTAAACTCCTTAAATCCCTTGCCCTGATGCTTCTCTGCCTCCAGATGATCAACAAAGTAGGTACTCCAAGTCCTGCCCTTAACCCTAAACCCTAAGCCTCCTAATCACGAAGCCGCTAGCTTAAACCCTTAAATCCACTCCCTTCAGCCTGAGCCTCGAAACCACCCCGAAAAGCCGAAGCAGTCTTCCATAGATCGAGGCACCCGACTATAGCCTGCATAGTTAGTTAGAAGAATATTAGTTACTATTGCATTGTGCCGGGAATCTAGAACCATTAATTGGAGAGTAAATCTGGGTGATTTTGCAATCTTGGTCCATCTAGGTGGGAAACCAAGATTGCCAGCAATCTTGCAATCATGGTCCTCTTGCCCAACTTGCCCCACCCGGCCCACTTGCTCGCCGACTGCTGGCAATTTTGTTCCGCCCCCCCCCCCTCCCAAGTGGGGCAAGATTGCAAGACTCTGGCCAATCTTGCAAACAGAATTGTTCTACCGTTCCTGATCACAATCATGCTATAACGTGCCCCCCCAAAAAAAACCCGATGCTTGTAGTATTACCCATAGGCCCCATAGTAGTTCCTTTCTGGGATTACCTAATAGGATCCTAAGTACAAACCACAAAAAAGGAACTACTACTGTATGGGGCCTATGGGTAATCCCCAAAACCCTAAACCCTAAACCCCTAAACCATTCTGCGGATAGGCTTTGACGCTCTATGAAAAGGCGAGACTCGGCTGTCTTTCTCAGTCTTCCAGAGCGGTTTGGAGTTTAGGGTTTAGGGTTTAGGCTAAAGGCCAGAACCCAAGCGGGTTTCGTAAGGCTTTATGATTAGTATACAGGTGTGTGTATGCGGGTATAGGACTCATATTTAGGTAGCTGTTCGACCCTATAGTCACTGTGTAGCTAAATTAATTAAACTTCAGCATACTACAAAGCCTCCTTCTACTGACGTCTACTTCTTCAGGCCTAGAGATTACGTCCAGTATGCCAAGCCTTCAAATCGCGTGCTGACTGGATCCTCGACCCGCACGCCCTCAATCTCCACTACCCATCGGCCCCATAGTAGTTTCTTTTTGTGGTTTGTATTTTAGGATCCTATTAGGTAATCCCAAAAAGGAACTACTATAGGACCTATGGGTAGACCCCACTTTTTAGCCTCGCACCCTGAAGCCTGAGGAAAGACGTCTTCGAGAGAACAAAAGCCTCGAGCACTCCAAACTATGCTGGCAGGGAGCTTAGTCGCTGCAGACCCAGAGAGACTTGGGAGTTTGGGGGTGGCTCAGGGTTTAGGGACGCGGGTGAAGTCCAAGTACTTGTTTAGGGTCTAGGGTTTAGGGTTTAGGGTCTGGGGGTGTAGAGTTCAGGAGTTGATGAGGGCTCGTGGGTTTGGGATTGAAGGCTTTGGGTGTCAGGGTATGGTACTTTAAGGCTTTGTGTGCAGCTTTGGCCATGAAATCCAAAAGAGCGAAACGCGATCCCTAGATCCCAAACTGACTCCGGCGACTGCTGCTACTGCGGCCGCTGCTATTACTGCTGCGACTGGACGAGTTGGAGAACTGCCATAGGGACCTAAATAATTGCGAACACTATTTTGGGGGTAGGCCCCAAAACCCTACGTATTCAAATTTTCAAGGCCCCTACATTACTTAACTACCCAGCTGTAGCTTTCTCCTGGAGCCAGGACAGAACTCAGCCCTCAGAACCTGAACCCCTCATCCCTAAACTTCTAAACCCTAAACCCCTCGACCCTGAACCTCTGAACCCTAAACCCCTAAACCCCCTCAACCCCTCAACCCTCAACCCTAAACCCCTAAAACTAAACCGCTCAACCCCCCAACCCTAAACCCCCAAACGCCTCAACCCTGAACCCCTAAAGCCTCAACTCTAAGCCTTAAAGGTCCACTCTAAGCCCTAAACCCCGCCTCAACCCCTAAATCCTCAACTCTGAGCCCTAAACCCCTAAATCCCTCAACCGTGAACCCCTAAATCCTCAACTCTAAAGTCCTAAAGGTCTACTCATGGACATGGGCCGCTTGAAGATGACGGCGGGTGAGCTGGACGCGGCGATGGAGCCCGGGGCTCTGGGTAGGGGCCGAAAGAACTTATTAAGGGTTTAAGGGTTCCTTTAAGGGTATTATAGGGTTTAGGGTTTATGGCTTTTGGGGTGTGGGGCTTTTGGGGTGTAGGGTTTCGGGTTTAGGGCTTAGGGAAATGACCAATACTTGGGGAGGCCTTTGGGTTTGGAGTTTAGGTTTTAGGGTTTAGGTTTTCGGGTTTAGGGTTTAGGGAAATCACTAATGCGGGCAACTCTACGTGTTGCCTTATTATGGGTTTTACGAATATTTGTCAAAAACCTGAAAGGGCCAACCTAGATTAGAATAGGGTTTGGGGCCCTCTACAGTAGAGTCATACCGAGGAGCCCCTAAGGAATGATATTGGTAATTATTAGTGACTTATTAATAAATATCATGCGATTTACTTCGGGCTTGTCCTTCTAGTGGACTTCAAATGAAGGACCCCAAACCGTAACGTCCCCCCCTAAACCCCTGAGAATGAGGTCTGAGTTTTCAGGCTTTGGGTTTAGGTTCAGGACTGTTAGCTTTGGGCTTTAGAGTTCAGGGTGTCGGTTTTAGAGTGGCTTGAGGGGTTTTGTCAATCTTGTCTTACTCTTCCTCGGTAACTTGGGGTGGTTTCGAGTTTATGGCTTTGAGGAGCTTGGGTTCAAGTCTACGTAGGACATTTTCAGGTGGGTAGTTCCCGTTATGGGAGGCTTATAGAAGGTTTATAGACCTTCTAGAAGCCTTATAGAAGCCCTATACACCCTAAACTCCCCACCTGTAGTTTCCCTCAATCAAGGGCTCAGTTCAGCACCCTCAGAATGTCCCCAAGAGTCTCTAGAGTGACATGGAGCTCCACTGTAAGAGGCCCTACAGGTGCAAAAAAAAGGGCCCCTTGTCATAACCCCCTCTACCTAAAAATCCTCGAAAACCTATCGAAACCCTTGTTTTGTGAGTGAAAAGCCTGCAGAGGTTGCTTCGGGTCGAAGGTCTAGCAAGGGGGGCTTGATAGCCTAATGGCCTAATGCGGTTTGGGTCCTGAGGCTCCTTTTTGGCGTTCTTGCCCCTGCATTATGCCTTTCACAGGCTGAGTACTTGCATGATGCACTTCGCCGGTTCATCTGCTTTTGATTCCTGGCCCGACCACCCGCCGAGTCAACTCGAGGCGGCATGTTCCCTGAACTTGCTATGGACATTCGAGCTGGCCACTGCCATTGCCCGTCCTGGCAGCACCAAAAGTTTGCACAAGGTTCACGGCAAGCACGTCTTCCCAGCATCTGCTCAGATCACTCGGCCTGTCTTCGACGATTGTCAGCCTGAATCCCAAAACTCGATGTTCTTGATGCCCCTCCCCCACCTCTTGGTGCGGGTTCTCGCTTATCTGCAAGTAACTTTCGCAGTGTTCCAAGCTTGGCGATGCCTGCTGGGTATGCCGCATCAAGATCACCTCGAGGCTAAACCCTGGTAGGGTACAGGGTTTAGCATTTACTGCATAGGAGTCTGACCTACAGGGTTTATAGGGTTCATGTAGAGTTAACTCGTAGAAGGGTTTGGGAAAAGTCAATAGTAGTGTTGCCTTACAGTCCCTTAACAATTCTATCCATGACATATATCCCCAACCCATATAATCCTAGCATGATGAAAGCCCAGTTCTAGGTCTTACGGCCCCTACATTAGAAGCGTCTGGTCAGCAACGCTGCGGCGGAACAACAGGGTGTAGGATGAAGGGTTCCAAGGAAAGCATATGAAACACACATCCTTCAGACCTTGAAGGCAAGACCTTCCCGCAATTCTGAAACCACATGGCATCACGACTCCGAAAGGCTGACCAACCCTTCAAACCAAAAATACCACTTTAGAATAACTGACTATTCTGTGGTATGTTATAGTATATGATGGTGTATATTATAGAACAACTCGATAGTTTGTGGTATATTATGGTTGGGTATGGTATGTATATATATATATATATATATACATATATATATATATATTACAGAATAAACCCCAGTCTGCTAGAAATTTCGCAAGGCTCTTCACGGCGTCCCGCAGTGCGTTTCAACTGGCTGGAGCAGAGCAGACACGGAATTTTGCAGACCTCCTCCACTGCCTCGGCTGCGCGACTGTTAGACCCGAGACCCGTAGGCCCCATAGTTGTTCCTTTTGGGGTTACCTAATAGGATCCGTAATACAAGCCGCAAGGAGGAACTACTATAGGGCCTATGGGTAGACCCTCAGCCCTAAACCGTTTCAGCTCGGATTTTGCGGTTTTCGGGCTTCAGGGCTGGAGGTCTCTAAACCCTGAACCCTAAACCCTAAACCCTGAATCCAGGGTTTCGGGCTTCGGGGTTTCCGGTTTCGGGTTTGGATGTCAGGCTCGTCTCGGCCGTCGAGGGCTGAGGGGGCTTCAATAAGTTAGAAGAGGGTTAACGGGTTCTATAAGGGCTACTATAAGGGTTTAGGGTTTCGGGTTTAGGGTAAGGGCTACTATAAGGGCTACTATAACGGTTTTGGGTTTAAGGGCCTTAATAATTAGAATAGGGGTGGCTTAAGAGCAACGCGTGTTGCAATCAGTGTTCGTGTGTAGGATGACGGCCCAAGATTTGGGGATTTATGATGCAGGTCATGGACTGACACATAACAGCAAAAATAACAATACTGACTTCAATACTACAAGTCAGAAATTTAGCATGAACACAGAAAGCTTAAATCCTACCCTGAAAATCTTCGCGCAAATTGGATTTGCAGTGTCGAGCTGGGGCTTTGGAATTTTTTTCAGATGTTAGCTAGGGTGTGTGGTTTTAAGGGGTTTGGGGGTTTGGGGTAAGGTTATGGGTTTGTGATGTTAGTGTGTGAGGTGCTCATAATCTGAGAGCATCGGACTTACAGCACGGATCTATAAAGGCGTGTCAAGCCTCACGACACCTCGGAACATCTCAGCCCCCGAACTCCCGAACCCCACAAACATTAGTCTCATTAAACCAGGAACTCTAAAAAAGCGAAACTCTAAGTGCACACCGACAAAAGCATGTAGCACAGCAGCTCAACGTCCTGGTGAACCTCAAACCTCCGACTGATTGAACAACGAACCTTGGACCCGAGAGAGCTACGTGATACAGGGTATGGGGTTTAGGGTTTAGGAAGAATCAGCGCTATCCCCCTGTAGCTCCCACTGCCCATACTAGCCCATTTTAATACTCTGCCCACCGGAACCCTCTTCCAATCCTTAAGGCTTACGGCCCCTCCTATAGACCCCGATGCAGCCCTTAAAGCACAATGAAGATTCCCCTACCTTTAACCTAGAAAGCCCCTGCTTTCATGTTGAAAATGTGGGAGCAAACGAAGAAACACCTGACGAGGCGACTGCCTGGATGAGCAGGGGAAGCACGATGAGGCTTTCAGGACCCTCGGGAAATCGGGGGCTCAAGGGTTCATTCGTGAAACAGGGCATTCCCGGCGTCGTCCGTTTGGTAATTCTGTTTCAAGGCCGCCAGTTGGGAGGGTGAGGCCAGGCAGTAAAAATTTTCAAGCTTAGGGCATCTTCTAAGAAAGGGACCGGAGCTGAGACGACTTAGGGCTTGGGGCACCACCGCTGGTTCATCACGTGCCCAAACCCCGAGTTTGCAGGGTTTAGGGTTTAGGGTTTAGGGTTTTGCAGCACATCTTGAGAGTTAGGGGTTCCGGAGCTTTTCGAGAAGTCACCGTTCGATCGGCTGCCATGGTTTTCAATGATCCTCACTCATTTGGGGCCCACGCGTGAGTTGTACTGTGCATGCAGAATCTTGTGTTCAGCCCTTTCCCCAAAGGGTCCAAGTACTAGTATAGTCTATACTTTTGGGGCCCAAATACCTACTAAGTACCTACTATAAGGGTACTTGGACCCTTTGGGCTCGTTGGATTTCCAGAGATGCTGAAGGCTTTGACCTGCGCCCCACGACAGATAAGCACGGCAGGCAGAAGCAAGCCGTGCAACACACTCCAATATAGAAGCCTACATAAGTATAGTATTTTGGGGGTTCCTTATTATAGTTATATGTAGTACATTATACCCCAAAACCCTATTCTAATTATTGAGGCCCCGACATCACCTGACAACCGATTGCAAAACGTTGCCAATCCTGCCTCAGCTTGTTCAGGGGCCAAGTCCTGCACCGGAGATGTGACAGCTACTGATATGATTCCTGTACCTCAACCTACCAAAACCTACCTTTTTGCAGGATCCCTATAAATTCCATATTAGGGTTTAGAACTAGGTTTTGGTAGGTTAAGGTATGAATCCCTATAAATTCCATATTAGGGGTTTAGAACAAGAACCTATAAAAAAAAAGTGGGTTTTGGGTAGGTTAAGGTATGAATACAGCGTCGCTCTCAGAGTTCCCGCACACCGTGGAGCTCTTCTGCCAGTTCGCCCACAGGACCCTGTTCCACCACGGAAGGTGGGAGAGGGAGCCTTCCTGGGCAGGGTTTAGGGTTTAGGGTTTAGGGTTTAGGGCTCAACAGCTGCAGATCTTGGATCCAAAGGGTTTAGGGTTTAGGGCAAAGGAGTTAACAAGAACAAAAGTGGTCGTCCCAAGCCCTGAACTCGAAACACTCCATTGTAGTTCCTGTTTTTGGTTAAACCATTTTTGCATTTAGGATCCTATGAGGGAACCCCACCAAAAGGAACTACAATGGAGACTGTAGGAAGACACACACTAAACCCTAAACCCCTAAACCCTAAACCCTAAACCCGGCCTGAAGGATCTTCAAGCAAGCGCAGCATGTCTTCGAGCTCTGTGGGCTCAGCAAGACGACGAACTACGCCGACCTTCGTCAGCATTCTTTGAAGGACGTAGGCAGGGTGTAGGCTTACGGTTTAGGCAGTTGGACAGGGGTCTCTGATTGAGGATCCTCGCCACAAACGAAAGATTAAATCAGGGCTTGCGGAATTCTGAGTTTGATTCCGGTTAATATAGAGGCCTTAATAATTACTTATACTATTTTGGGGGGTTCCTTATTATAAGTACAGTATAATGGGCCCCGAAACCATAGTCTAATTATTACGGCCCCTACATTAGGCTTGGTGAGTACTCCCCGTGCTGCTTGCATCAGAGCGCCTGCCTGTGCAGGCTTGGTAACCTTTCGCCCTTAGACATTCTAGTCTGAGCCCCTGATCTAGCCTAACATAGGGGCCTCAATAATTACCTACATGATTTTGGGGTTCCTCATATTAGTTAGTTATACTATAAAGGACCCCAAAACCCTGTCCTATTTTTTCAAGGCCCCTACATTAACTGGGGCTGCGGTCGCCGAACAAGATTGGCTGCAAAATCGAAAATGCGCCGGGATATCGCTGATGCTGCCGAAACCCTTGGCAAAGTCAGTTATGGTTTTTCAAGGCCTACATTACATTATTGAAGGATAACATTCTGTGGCACTCACAGCATCAGTACTGGCATGTACTAGCCATTGTCTCTGCTTTGTTGACCCCTGCACCTGCCAGCATCATTACTGCAACATGGCAAAAACTCATCCGGGTGTGTTGACTGCTTCTCTTTGCGTAGTCAGTCGGTTTTAATATCTGTTGCAGTTAGCAATAGTGTTGTCACGGTTTTGTCTCGTCGATTGTTCATGAAGTAGTTCACCCAGATGAAGTAAATTGGCTAGGACATCGTTCTTGCTGCTGCCATTCTTCTTACAGGTGGTGTCATGCGGGTGTCAGTCTTGGCACTTGCGCTTTGGCTCTAGGAAGGCTTGGTGCGGAGCTTCGAGTCTCGAACCTCGAGGATGAGGGGTTTGCTACACCCTAGACCCGCTCTTTTCTTTATGTAGCCTATGTCAGGGTTTACTAGACCCTAAACCCTAAACCCGCCCTTTTCTTTCCGGAGCCTCTGTCAGGGTTTACTAAACCTGGACCCTCAACTCGCCCTTTTCTTTATGGAGCCCGTGTCAAAAGCCTAAAACCGGAAGTGAAATCTAAGATAGGGGCCTTAATAATCAGAATAGGGTCGGGGGTATATTCTACTATAATCATAGCAACCATAAATAATAATAGTAAAAAAATAATAGTAGTAATAATAATCTGCCCCCAAAACCCTGTTCTAATTATTAAGGCCCCTATATTACGGCTGCGGGATGTAAACCTAAGCCATGATCCACTGCAGCCACCTGGGGCCTTAGGGGTTTTAAGCTTTAGGGTTTAGGGGTTTAGGGCTTAGGGCTTTAAGGTTTAGGGTTTAGGGGTTTAGGGTTTAGGGCTTTAAGGTTTAGGGTTTAGGTAACTACTTATAGCCCCAATTAAGGTGCTTACTTACCAAATCTGTTCTCACGATTGAGGCTTAGGCCTAAAGCTAAGGTGTTGAACGTCTAACTACTAAAGCCCTCAAGAACTTGCTTGTGACAATTCGCTCAGGAGTTGCTGGCTAACATGGCGGACTGCATGAAGAAGCAAGGCGCCGACAGCAAGGGAACAAGCATGTTCAGTCGTTGACACTTGGAGGTATGCCCAGCATCTTGTTCTTCGCCGCCTCCATCGCCAGCATGATCTTCATCGTTCCAACAAAGAGCATGACAAGGGCAGTAAACATAGCGATCGTGAGGATGTTCGGAATGATCAGATATACGCAGGAAGCAGTCTCAACAGCGGCAAGACAATACAGACTGAGCCCTGGATATCCCTGAACCCAGAATTAGGGTTTAGGTGTTTTGGGTTTAGAACCTTCAATCCGCCATAGCCCAACTGCCACCAACTGCACACGCCCGTGTGCAAGAATTGCGCCTTCAAGAATCCCTACACCTAAACCCTAAACCCTGAGCCCTAAACCCCAAACCCTGAACCCTAAACCCTAAACCGTGGGTATCGGTAGTTTCGACAAGTTGGGGGGTGCATTGGCCATAGCCTCCAGGCGTGCACGGGCAGATGGCGAAGGTACAACAGACAAGGTACTCTAGGGGCCTTTAGTAATTACCTATGTTATTTTGGGGGCTCCTAATTATATACGAATAGTATAATATACCCCAAAGCAGGGAACCATAGAAGAGACCCGGCACGTCCACACTGCCCAAGACCCGCCACACCAGACCTCAATACTCAAACACTCGGGATGTGTTTTTGTTCAGTGTTTTGTTTGCTAAACCCTAAACCCTAAACCCCAAAAACCCTGAAAACCCTAAACCCTAAACCCCAAACTTGGAGGCCTGGAGAAGGATTCCGCTCAGGTCCTCGACAAGGTGGGATGCACGGCGATTTTTCGATCGGGCTTTAGAGATGGAAGGGTTGTGGGTGTCGGGCTATCGCTGCGTGGATAAATGAATGAATATATATATATACATA